TCCCATCCACTCACGCTGTGCCAGCCCCATCTCTCTGCCACCCCCACCCTTCCAGGCATTCACCGTGGGCCAGCCCCACCCATGCACTGAGCCACTCCCAGGCCATAGGGTCCCAGTTACCCCCAGCCCAGAGAGGCAACAATGAACCTCTCCCCATCCAGCCACAGCATCCCCCGCACGGGCAGGAAGGGTGGCCCAAGGCTGGGAGTCCAGGCCTGGGACTTGGCAGGGCTGGGTTCAATTCAGTTCACTATGTAGCGCTCAGTGCCTCAGTTTCCCCCTCAGGAAGAGGGGGCCGATGGGGCATTCAGACGCTATGGTAACGAGAATGATAATTAGCACCTAAGCTCCATCTCTGTGTCTCATCAATTCTAATATCCCGGTTACCATAGTAGCTCTGTGCCAGATAAAAGCTTAAAACAACTTTCAACTCCAAGCGCTTTCCCCACACGGGGCGACATCGGGATCCTTTCAAGCCTAATCGGGAGATGCGGCTACCTCTGGGGTGGGGTGCAGGGGCCGTCTGCCCATATGCAGCCGCGCTGCTCTGCAGCACAGGGCGCCAAGGCTAATCCGGAGCCAAGACGGAACCGCGGCGGAGAGCTGAGGTCAGTGGAATCCAAGCAGGGAACCCGGCCAGTTACACCCACGTCACTTGCCAAAGTGCTCCAGAATCTTCCCAGAACCTGGCTCTAACCCATCCACTCCACTCGGAGCCAGGTATAATCCCAGGGTTCGTAGCCACCCTCCCCTCCCACTGCTGGGTCCCCCGGTTCCAGCCCCGCCAGGCACCTCCCCGTCTCGGGTGGCCCAATATGGCACCTCTTGGGGGCCAGCCCTCAGTGGGACAGGAGGGCTGCCCCCACCCCGCAGCACAGCGCCCCCTAGTGCCATGCTGAGAGCCAGGGGAGAGCGCCCCCTAGCTGCAGGGTCTCCAAAATTTTTGAGCCCAAGATCACTTTTTGAATTTAGGTGCAATCCAAGATCTACCTCAAATATAAATACCCTGGCCCCGCCTCCTTCCCGCCCCTTCTCTGAGGCCCCGCCCCTTCTCTGAGGCCCCGCCCCGGTCACTCCACGCTCCCTCTCTTGCCTTTCATCAGGCTGGGGCAAAGGGTTGGGGGTGCAGGCTCTGGGCCTGGATTAAGGGATTTGGAGTGTGAGGGGCTCTGAGCTGAGCTTGGGGCAGGTAGTTGGGGTACCGGAGGGGGCTCTAGGTGCAGGCTGTGGGAGGATGTTTGGATGCAGGATGCTCAGGGCTAGGGCAGGGGTTTGGGGGGCAGGAGGGGGTTCATGACGAGGGTAGGAGGTTGGGATGTGGGCTCCAGCGGGGCCCTGCTGGTGGCTCCTGGTTGGTGGTGCAGTGGGGCTAAGGCAAGCTCACCCCGGCCCTGGACCACTTCCTAAAGCTGCCAGCAAACTCCCTCCCGAGTCCTGTTGTGCCCCCTCTCTGCACTGTGGAGACAGGATACAGGATGGAAGAGGGAGCACCCGGACATCAGCGCCCCTCCTCTGCCCAGAAAGCAGGAGGCTCCCCGGGGGAGGGGCAGCTCACAGGCAAAGGGCAAGAGATGCACAGCAGTGGGGGCAGGGACAGCTGAAATGCCGGCACTTGATAACCTGTTGGTCAGACCAGTCAGGTTCACCCGTGTGATGCTCCAAGATCTACTGGTTGGTGACCAGAGCCCTAGCGAGTCCCTGCTCTGTTCCCCCCAGCATAGCGCCCCCTAGTGCCACGCTGGGGTAGCACTGAGTGCAGGGGAGAGCGCCCCCTAGTGAGCCCTGTTGGTCTCCACAGCACAGCGCCCCCTAGTGCCACGCTGGGGTAGCACTGAGTGCAGGGGAGAGCGCCCCCTAGTGAGCCCTGTTGGTCTCCACAGCACAGCGCCCCCTAGTGCCAGGCCCTGGACCACTTCCTAAAGCTGCCAGCAAACTCCCTCCCGAGTCCTGTTGTGCCCCCTCTCTGCACTGTGGAGACAGGATACAGGATGGAAGAGGGAGCACCCGGACATCAGCGCCCCTCCTCTGCCCAGAAAGCAGGAGGCTCCCCGGGGGAGGGGCAGCTCACAGGCAAAGGGCAAGAGATGCACAGCAGTGGGGGCAGGGACAGCTGAAATGCCGGCACTTGATAACCTGTTGGTCAGACCAGTCAGGTTCACCCGTGTGATGCTCCAAGATCTACTGGTTGGTGACCAGAGCCCTAGCGAGTCCCTGCTCTGTTCCCCCCAGCATAGCGCCCCCTAGTGCCACGCTGGGGTAGCACTGAGTGCAGGGGAGAGCGCCCCCTAGTGAGCCCTGTTGGTCTCCACAGCACAGCGCCCCCTAGTGCCACGCTGGGGTAGCACTGAGTGCAGGGAAGAGCGCCCCCTAGTGAGCCCCTGTTGGTCTCCACAGCACGGCGCCCCCTAGTGCCACGCTGGGGTAGCACTGAGTGCAGGGGAGAGCGCCCCCTAGTGAGCCCCTTCTGTTCCCCACAGCACAGCGCCCCCTAGTGCCACGCTGGGGTAGCACTGAGTGCAGGGGAGAGCGCCCCCTAGTGAGCCCCTTCTGTTCCCCACAGCACAGCGCCCCCTAGTGCCACGCTGGGGTAGCACTGAGTGCAGGGGAGAGCGCCCCCTAGTGAGCCCCTTCTGTTCCCCACAGCACAGCGCCCCCTAGTGCCACGCTGGGGTAGCACTGAGTGCAGGGGAGAGCGCCCCCTAGTGAGCCCCTTCTGTTCCCCACAGCACAGCGCCCCCTAGTGCCACGCTGGGGTAGCACTGAGTGCAGGGGAGAGCGCCCCCTAGTGAGCCCCTTCTGTTCCCCACAGCACAGCGCCCCCTAGTGCCACGCTGGGGTAGCACTGAGTGCAGGGGAGAGCGCCCCCTAGTGAGCCCCTTCTGTTCCCCACAGCACAGCGCCCCCTAGTGCCACGCTGGGGTAGCACTGAGAGCAGGGGAGAGCGCCCCCTAGAGAGCTCCTCTCCTGCTCCCCCCCAGCACGGCGCCCCCTAGCACTGCACGGGGGACCAGGGGAGAGTGCCCCCTAACAAGCCCCACTCGGACTGGTTCATTCCTGACCCGGGAAGAGAAGCAGCAACTCCGGGCCCCCAGCATCACTCCGTGCTCCTTAGAGGTCTCCCATCCAAGCACAGACCTGGCCCAGCCTTGGTTGGCATGGGCAGCGTGGCAGCAGCCGGGCACTGCCGGCGAGCCTGGGCTATCCCCGGGCCGGTGTCTCTCCTGGCTGTCAGTGTCAGCATAGGGAGGACTAACAAGCCACCCACCCTCCAGGCTAAAAATTGCCAGGGCGTGATGCCAGCTGCGCCTGCTTCTCATCTCCCTGCTGCCCACACACGGAACGGCAACCCCCCGCCCCTGCACCGGGGGGCTGAGCCAAAGGGCCGGAACAGGGAGCCGGGGCGGAGAGGGGCTGGGGGAGGGGGAACACACTTCTCCCCAACCTCCTGACTGGGGGGGAAAGAGAGCCAGGTAGGGTGGGAACAAAGTGCCTGGGGCACGTTTAAGTCCCTGGCACCAGCCCGGATCCATCCGTCTCCGGCTGGAAGCTGTTTCTAATCCAACATCCTGCCCCCTCACCTCGCCACGTGAGCCGAGTTGGCCGGGACTCAGTCCGGCTCATGACAGACCCAAGGGCCATGAAAAGAGCACCCCACGGGCTGGCAGTCCGGCAAGGAGGCCACGGATGAGAGGTGGAGGCCGAGACCACGGAAGGCAGGGGCCTGGTGTGTGTTATGGTCGTGCCCAGAAGCGATCAGGGTGCTGGAAACAGAAGTCCTGACTCCCAGAGCCAAGAACCTCCCTGCTCTAACCACTAGACCCCACTTCCTTTCCACCCCCAGGGACAGAAGCCAGGAGCCCCTCACCTCCCTGCTCTAACCACTAGACTCCGCCCCCCCCTTTCCCAGGGCAGGGGATGCTCCTGCGAGAGGCACAGTGGGCAGAGACTGGGGTGCTGGCAGCAGGGGCTCTGT